GGGTGAGCATGGCCTGCAGCATTCCTCAGCTTTGACCCCTCATTCCCAGCACCCCTGTGCAGCTGGGGTGGGCTGGCACTTGCCAGGGAGATGTGATCCCACTGGCACAGACATCTCTCATCCCAGCAACACCTTACTGGGTGGCCAGAGCAGATCTGCAAGGAGCAGGAGGGGACCTTGGGTAGAGATGAGTTTTTGTGTTTGTTTGTGAGTGTTTGTGAATGTGTTTGTGTGTGTGTGTTTGTGTCTGGTAGTGTCTGTTCCTGTCTGTTTGTGTCTGTTTATGTGTTTACCATGTGTATTACACAACGAGGCAAAACCAGGCCGTGCTGCCCTGCCAGCACAGCTTCCTCCAGGTCTTTTTTTTCCACTGAGGCTGCAGTTGTCCCATTCCCTGCTCCCTCTCCACGTCAAACAGCAGCAGCTGAGCACGGAGGGATTTCCTCCAGAGCAGAACTCATCCTTGCAGGTTCCAGTTGCACAGCCGAGCACCAGCTGGGGATGCAGAGCCACCAGAGGTGTCCGGAGGAAACCCATCCTTGCAGCACTGCTGGGAAGAGCCAAGCACTCCCCATTCTGCATCTCCCTGTGTTTGGGGCACAGCAGTTTGTCCTGGCTGCTGTGCCATCCCGCTTGGATGCTTACACTCTTCCTCCCGGATGGTAGGATGGCAGCGATTCCCAATTATGATTGGCAATAATAATGCTAAACAACAGAAATCAAGAAGCTAGAGCCGGAGGCGAGGAAGGATGCTCCTCGGCTGCATCTCCCGCTGGCAGAGCTGGCAGCGCTGAGCTCGGGGCGGGACAGGACGGGATGGCGTTGCAGGAAGTTAGAGCTGCAAAACAACCTCCTCCGCAAAGCCTCTTACCGGGACAGGCATGGAAGGAGGCGGATGAGCAGCACCAGGCTCTGCTCCGCTGAGCTCAGAGCTCAGCAGCACCAGCACAGCGAGCTCAGCCCCCCTGGCACCGAGTCCTGCGGGAGGTAAACCCACCGCGGTTTTTGCTTTTGCTCCGTGCCAGCTTTCCCTTTTCCCTGGGCTCCAGTCCCTGCGGACACGGAAGCAGAGAGGAGGGAGGTGGGATAGGGATCCTTCAAGGGGCGTCTGCAACAGGCAGGAGGCACAGGAATCTCTGCTCGGTACTGGGAGATGGGAAGGGGCTGCAAACTGGGCATGGGGCACACTGGGGTTTGCTTGCTGCAAGGCATCGAGGTCGAGACACCCAGGTTCAAGGTCAGCTCTGCCACCATAGTCCTCGTGCCTTCGTTTTTCCACCTGGAGAGGGATTGCAGAAAGCTTGGGCTGCGGGAGGTGTGAGCGAGTGGTCACGCTGCTTGTTCTTGCTGTCTGCTGGGGTTTGCTT